GTGTTAAACCTCATACAGTTGGCCTTGGCCCATCGGTCCAGCCTGTCCAGGTGCCTCTGCAGGGCCATCCTACCTTCCAGCAGATTAACACTCCCACCCAACTTGGTGTCATCTGCAAAATTCCTCAGGGTGCACTCGACCCCCTCATCCACATCATTGATAAAAATATTAAACAGAACTGGTCTCACTACTGAGCCCTGGGGAACACCACTTGTGACCAGCCACCAACTGGATTTCACTCCATTCACCACAAATCATTGGGCCCGGCCATCCAGCTATTTTTTTACCCAGCAACAAGTATGCCTGTACACCCATCCAAGCTGTGAGCAGCCAGTTTCTCCAGGAGAATACTGTGGGAAATGGTGTCAAAGGCTTCACTGAAGTCCACGTAGACAACATCCACAGCCTTTCCGTCATCTACTAAGCAGGTCACCTTGTCATAGAAGGAGATCAGGTTGGTCAAGCAAGACCTGCCTTTCATAAACCCACGCTGACTGGGCCTGATCACCTGGTTGTCCCGTACGTGCCATCTGGTGGCACTCAAGATTATCTGCTCCATAACCTTCCCAGACACCGAGGTCAGACTGACAGGCCTGTAGTTCCCTGGATCCTCCTTCCAGCCCTTCTTGTAGATGGGCCTCACATTTGCTAACCTCCAGTCAACTGGGACCTCCCCGGTTAGCCAAGACTGCTGCTAAGGATTTGGGTGAGCACTTCCGCCAGCTCCCTCAGTACCCTTGGGCGGATCCCATCCAGCCCCATAGACTCGTGTGTGTCTAAGTGGTGTAGCAGGTCACTAACCATTTCCCCTTGGATTATGGGGGCTTCATTCTGCTCCCTGTCCCTGTCTTCCAGCTCAGGGGGCTGGGTACCCAGAGAACAACTAGTCTGACTATTAAGGACTGAGGCAAAGAAGGCATTAATTACCTTGGCCTTTTCCTCATCCTTTGTTGCTATGTTTCCCTCTGTATCCAATAAAAGATGGAGATTCTCCTTAGCCCTCCTTTTGTTGCAAATGTATTTATAGAAACATCTTTTTATTGTCTTTTACAGCAGTAGCCAGATTCATTTCCAGTTGGGCTTTGGCCCTTCTAATTTTCTCCGTGCATAACCTCATGACATCCTTGTAGTCCTCCTGAGTTGCCTGCCCCTTCTTCCAAAGGTCATAAACTCTCCTTTTTTCCCTGAGTTCCAGCCAAAGCTCTCTGTTCAGCCAGGCCAGTGATCTCCCCTGCTGACTCGTCCTTCGGCACATGGGGACAGCCTGCTCCTTCACCTTTAAGATTTCCTTCTTGAGGAATGTCCATATTTTCTTGGACTCCTTTGCCCTTCAGGACTGCCTCCCAAGGGACTCTCTCAGCCAGGTTCCTAAACAGGCCAAAGTCTGCCCTCTGGAAGTCCAAGGTTCTGCTGACCCCGCTCCTTACTTCTCCAAGAATCACAAACTCTATCATTTCCTGATCGCTATGTCCAAGACAGCCTCCAGCCGTCACATCACCCACAAGTCCTCTGTTCCCATGGCTAAGTAATTTGAGGGTTTAGGTAAATGGTTCTATACTTTCTTAGGATATACGCTTAATTATATCTGAAAAAGGCACACTGTCCTTACTTCCAGGGAAATGGCTGAATCGGGACAATGCACTGGGTGTGCTGCATTAATTAGACAAGGAAATCTGCAAGTCTGCTTTTTTCAGAACAATAAGATCAAATTTCACAAATGCTTAATCACACATTTGGATAAATGATATAGTGGATGTTACCATACAGTGATGCAGAGGGTAATATCTGCACAAGGTTTTAATTAAGTTTTTCTGCACATCTTTCAAGCAAGGTACAGTATGAGAGTAACGTTCTCATTACTCTACAGCTACTGTTCGGTGGGTTTGAAAGGAAGCTACAAGAATCTGTTAAGAAGAGACTGTGAGTTTCCTGGTCAAAATATTTTTTTTTTCTTTTTATTCTTAGATAAATTGAAATTTCTATTGTGACTAAAATTTTTTTGAGAGATATTGAGGTACCTCCACTTTTTTACTTGTAACTGAATTTGTAAAAGCTTCTATCAGTCCTAGCTGGGTGTTCTCTTATCTTGCACGCTGAACCTCCCACAGAGACTTGCTGTAAATTGTGCCAGTGCAGGTGATAGACTGTTCATAACTCTTCTAGCTTTATTTGGTTCACACCTTGAGGACTTAGAGCCAAGAACACTGTTAGGTGATGGACAGAGATTTTCTGTTGCTAAAATTATGTGTGATAAAGCTGGAGGATATGTTCTCATCTCATACAGTGGTCACAAAGCATATTCTAAATGAGGCAGATAATGTTCCTAAATTTTTTTTCTGGATGTTCTTCGCTAAGAAGAAAATAGATGGATTTTTTCTTCTGAATGCCTACGTTCACAAAAGCACTTTAATAATATGAACTAGAACAAATGACGCTCAGCTCTCCTCCTGTTGAGAAATTGAGGGCTGCTTGGAGTGTAATTTAGCCCTATTTTTGTTCTCTGAAAGCTCGTTTATGTGGATGTTCATGTCATTTACTGAAATTTAATTTGCAAACAAGATTTACTTTAGCTGTGTTTTGAAGTAATAATGCATACAGAGATCAAAAAACCCAAGAGATTTTGGAGTTATTACTGCTCTTCTGAGACTGTGAATCCATAAAAAATTACTTCAGAAAATTAGAAAATTGCATATTAAGTACATTCAGTCATGCATAAAGTTATACTGTTGTGGTTATCAAGCGGTCAGCATTTTGGTTTTCTAAACACATGAAGGAGAAAGCCTTTCTTCAGAAAATTCTTACCAGTTACCTCACTACTTTTCTGCCCCACCTCAAAAGGGAAAATATCCTCTTCCTGTTTATATTGATTATGGTTGGAAGATCTGCTGTTAAGATACCAAATATTTGAGCTAGGTATTTCTGGAATAAAATTATTAACTCAAATTTCTGCCATAGTCTTGGGAGAGGAGGTTCTTATGTCTTGTATAATTCAATTATTTGTTAATATAATTATTTTATTGTCATGTTTTGGCTGTAAAGCTCTTGAACAGTTATCAGAGAGATGCAAAAATATTTTCTTTGGTCTTTTTTAAATGTCCAGGTCAAAATCTAGACAGCATGCTTCATGGCACAGGAATGAAGACAAATCCTGACCAAAAGAAACAAGCAAATGGAGTAACACTCGCTCCAGAGGACACCTTACCTTTTCTTAAGTGCTACTGCTCAGGACATTGTCCAGATGATGCTATTAATAACACATGCATGTAAGTATTGCGTACAGGATAGAAGAGGCTCTTTGAAGAGGCTCGTGAGAGAGCAAACTATCTCTAGAGTGCTGGCTGAGGTTCTGTCAGGTGATTTGACCATAATTGATTAGAAACTCACTGGTTCTGTGGAGAGCTGAGCGCTAAAACCCACGGTCATCTGTATGTAAACAATACTGCTTTCACCATAGCTTAGAACCATTTGCAGCCTGTTGTTTTGCCCCCAGCAACTGCTTTGAAGGACTGAGGTTTTAAGTAACCTGTAGCATTTTATAACTGGGTGACTATTAAATGGCCCAAATCTAAACCTTCTGATATGACTCTCTGCTTGCTTAGTCTAGTATTTCTTCACCTAGTAGTCAAAAGGTAATGTTAGCAACATAGCCATTTACTGAGAATTCTTTAACAAGAATTAGTTGTAGAGTTCATTAGTTGTAGAGTATGAGGGAAAAGCAGGGGGAAAAAAGAAAAACCTCTGAAGATACAGTGACAGCAGGGTAGTTTTAGCTTTGATAGGCGTTAAGAATCCTAACAGACTCATGCACTGATTATGTGCTTGCTTAGATTGTTTTTTCATGTCATGAAACGTCCCCGTTTTTCCTTTTTTCCTTCATTTACCGTTCCATGTTTAAGACCTTTCTGTTTCTTCCTTAAGAATTAATGTAAAGATACATAATAGAAAACATATTACCTGCTACTGTAATTTGAGTCTTTGCTTTAACACATGATATTAAGCCTCTCTAAAGCTGTCAGCAGATAAGGGAGTTTTTGTGGAACCCAAGGAGGTGGAATAAACACTGCTATCTTTCTAAATGTGAATACAGGTAGTATTTTACAAACACAGTTTTGCACTTAGAAAATATTTAGTTATGATCCAGTATTTTGTCTTTAAATTCCTTTGATGCTTATTTTTTGCCTTTTATCGCCCTCTAGTGTATGCAGTCGGTATAGGCCGTATTAATTCTTTGCCTCTGAACTAATGGCTGTATAGATCATTATTCTGATAATAAAGTTGTTAGAGAGTTAATAACACTTATGCACTGTTCATATGCAGGGTATTTTTTGGCATTATGCTCCCCAAATCTGCATTTCTTTACATTCATTTAACTAAAAAAAATTTTGCAAACAAAAATATTTCTGGATTTGTTTTCCTTAGTGTCTGTGGTGAGGGAATGAATGAATTTTGATTTGCTTAATAAAAATCTTAATTTTACAGGTATTGGAAGCACAGAACTACCATTGCAAATTGCTTTGGGATTCCTTGCAAATATTGTTGACGTTTTCATGTGATACAGAAGTCAAAGCATTTGTATAAAGAGATAATGGGGAGTTGAAGTGCCTTTTTTTTTTTAAAGAATGTAAACTATTTGTTACTGTCAGCTTCAGAAAGTGGGTTTGGGGGTTTGTTTGTTTTGCCCTAAAGGCTGAATATTTGAGAGGGCTTTTGGGGGAAAAGCATAGCTGAGCTTTTGACCTTGAAATAGCCACCTTTCACATACTGGGACTTCTCTTGAGAGTTTATCATTGCAGTTTCAAGAACAGACACAAGTGAACTTTTTTTTAACCTATAAAATTGTAGTCAGTAAGCCTTTTTAGTCAGATCTCTGCTCTTCCGCCCCTTCAGTTGTTTCAGAATAACTGGGTGTGTGATTGGATACGAGCAGTCTTGAAGGGAGGTGAGGAAGTAGAAGACAGAATATTCAGGAGAAAACATCCCTACAGTGTTCTATCTGAAAATACTGTGGTGGTTTTTGTTCTCAAACTGTATGGTAATTGCTGTGTTAAAGAAGATTTTTTTTCCTAGATATTGCCCTTCTAGTATTCTTAATGGGTTCATGGTCAACTAATGCTGCATATTAAACAAGAAACATGCTGGTAAAGCATAATTGGTATGTTTATTCCAGAACTAATGGGCATTGCTTTGCTATCATTGAGGAAGATGAACATGGAGAACCCACGCTTGCTTCTGGCTGCATGAAGTATGAAGGTTCAGACTTCCAGTGCAAGGTAAAAAATGAGATACCATTAAAATGTAAGGTGTCCGTGGAGAT